TAAACCCCAAACCCTAAAGCCTAATCTATTCATTCTTAATTATCGTTTTAGCGGTACATTATCACTATGACTATTAATGCCCTGAGCACCATGACTACTACGTTGATGACATCAATACTGCATTACCTTAAGGACCCTAAGCTACGGGATTTATGGTATATTCCTTATCATGGGTAATGGGGGATAGACCATCAATCGTATTGCTAGCTTTCAATACAAACCCTTAACCCTAAAACCTATGCCCTAAACCCTAAAACCTAAACCCTAGGCCCCAAAAACTAAATCCTAAACCCTAAACCCATGCCCTAAAACCTAAACCTTAAACCCCAATATCATCAACCGTATTGCTACCTTTCAGAGCCTCGCGACGGAGTCGGGCCTCGTGATTGCTGCTGTTGACCTGGTGCATGGCGAAGGACCTGCAGGAAGCTCAGGCGTAGGATTTAGGAAATAGGTTTGAATATTAGGGTTTAGAATTTAGGGTTTAGGGTTTAGGATTTAGGGTTCAGGTCATAGGATTTAGGACTAAGTCTGTCTGCAACATTTGTGGTCCAAACAAGCTATGTTTCCAGTTGATTGCAATGAGCTCACGGTCTATACCCTAAACCCTAAACCCTAAACCCTAAACCCTAAACCCTAAACCCTAAACATTTAGGGCTTCGGATGTGAGGCTCAAGCCTGAAAGCCCACGTGTTCGGCGGAGGTTTAGGGCATGCTGTAGCGATTGATTGGTCTGGGGTTTCATGAGCTCTGCTTAATTAAGTATAGGGGTTTAGGGTTTAGGGTTTAGGGTTTAGGGTTTAGGGTTTAGGGTTTAGGGTTTAGGGTTGTTTACACTACTACAATATATAATATCGGCTCCTTTTTTTGTGGTAACCCAAATCAAACTCCTGAACAAGAGCCCAGTTTATTATAGGGGCCTTGATAATTAGAATAGGGTTTTGGGGCCCACTATACTATAATTGGTGTAGGGTTCCGGGTTTAGGACGTTTAGGATGTTTTAGGATTTGGGGCACAAGGTATATGGTTTAGGACCCAGGACCCGCAAAAACCCTGATTTACCCCTAAACCCCGGGGGAAATAGTATTGGTAATTTTGTAGGCCCCTACATCCGTCTAAGCTGGATGCGAGAGTCCACCATGGGCCTGCTACGACTCCAACTGCAGTCGGTGCTCGGAGCTCTAGAGCTCAAAAGCCGTATTTAGGGTTTAGGGTTTCGGATTTAGGGTTTAGGGTTTAAAGCCATATTTAGGGGGCTTGGAGGCTTTGGGTTTAGAGTCTGAGGTTAAGGAGGTTTTAGGGTTGGTGTTTTCCAGGAGACAAGCCAATCTAGAAGCTGAAAACGTGGGATCCCTATCTCAATGCAGAGCTTATTCAACAGCATTCGCATTTTTATACAAAGCTGACCGATATCAGCTGCTACATGACATGGTGCCATCACAAACCAAGAAACTCAAAAACAACTCAACCCGGAAACTCCGAACCCAGCCCCTAATTCTAGTCTGAAGCTCCCAAACCACCCGTAAGCCCGGAACGCCTTGAATCGAAAGGCAGGGTACCCTAATAAACCCTAAACGCCACACCCTAAACCAGAAAACCCGAAACCATCCCTGAACCCGGAAACCGTAAAACCGCACCCTAGACCCTAAATAAAGTCTTAGGCCCTAGAACCTAGACACCAAAACCCTTGACCCTAATGTAGGGGCCTTAATAATCAGAATAGGGTTTTGGGTTCTCCGTATTGTAACTAGAGTTTAGCATCCCAAGCCGTATTCTAATTATTAAGGCCCCTAAACCCTAAACCCTAAACCCTAAACCCTAAACGAACCCCAGGCCTCACGAATTCCTCCAAGCTATCGCTTGGTCGCACCTGACAACACCCGGGTCATTGCTGGGCTTTGGGTTTAGTGGTTTAGAGTTTAGGGTTTAGGGTCTAGGGTTTAGAGGGTTAGAGTTTAGGGTTTAGGGTTGTCCAACGGGTTTTAGGGCTTCAGGGCTGAAGGTTTAGGGTTTCAGGATTCAGGATCTAGGAATCTACGAGCTATACCAGCATGTAGAGTTATCGGGTTATATAAACTATATAGACTTATACTGGGTTAGATAAAGCTAAGATCGAGTTTCGGGTAATGTTCTACCTGATCATATATATATATATATATATATGTATGTTGGATTTCATCGGCTTTGATAAAGCTTTCTAGAGTTTCTTTGTTGCATCCCTGAGTTTTGGGTTCCTTTTCGGGTTGCTTTACCGGTTCCTTTAAGGGATCTATAGGGGCTTAGGGTCTAGGGGTTTAGGGGTTAGATAGCTAGAGCCACCGGTGGCTTCCGTGCTGAATGGTGGTCTAGCGGCTCGAGGACCGCCTTCGTGTTGCCTGTTGCTGTAAAACTTCTATACCTGAAGCCGCAGGCCTTCTCACAAACGTATGTGTCGATTTATTTCTTGTACGCTCTGGCTTCCGCGAGGTTGGATATCCAGTAAGCCTCAGTTTACGCTCTCACATCTCGGAACAAGCGACTGCAGAGAGCACTGCAGTGTGGTGGTCTGTGCGGCAGGTACGCCTTAAAGTAAATGCCGTAATATAGAGCGGATCACCTGTGGCGCAGGCTGTGTCTAATGTCCGAAAATCGAGAGGCTGTACATGCTGCAAGCCGCCATAGTCCAAGTTGCATTTAGCGGCAGGTGACCCTCCACATTTAACCTTGTAGTCGAAGCCAGATATTCCCTAGACCCTAAACCCTAAACCGCACTTTTGGACTGGGTGTTGCAGGCGTATCGGTCGTAGGTTCACAGGCCTCGCTGCCCGTTTATTGGGTTTTTGAGGGTTTAGGGGTAAAGGGTTTGCCTGTAGGGTTGGGGTCGAGGGCTGCCGGTTAACATATACTCGAATCCTGTTCTGATTATTCGGGCCCGTAGATTAGGATTCCGGGCTTGAATATGGGGTTGAGGGGTTTAAGGCTTAGGGTTTCGGGGTTTAGGGTTTAAGATGTCGGGTTCGGGGTTTAAGGTTTACCTGGACCCTTAATAACCTACCTTTTTCAGGACTGAAATTAGGCAATCATACTTTGGAACCCCGAAAAGGTAAGTTCTTTACTGGTCCAAGTATATAGGGTTTGGGATTTAGGGTTTAGCATTTCGGGTTCGGGGTTTGGGGTTTATAGGGTGTAGGGTTTAGGATTTATAGGGTTGAGGGTCAACTTCAAGGCTTGCGGGTTTCGGGTCTCAGGCTTTTGGGCGTCCCCGAAGTTGAAGTCATACCTAGACCCGAAGGGACCTACCTTCTTAAGGACTTAGATAAGGAAATCATAATAAGGTTCTTAAGGGTCCAGATAAGGCTAGGATAGAGGTAGCTCTCTAAACTAGCGTCCCTGTTCAGGCCCCAAATAGTACGGCACCCTTATAAAAAAGGCCAAAACAGGGACCCTAATTTGGAAAGCTACCCATACAGCGTTTTAAGCTTCGGGGGTAGAGGTCCCGTGGGAACCCAAAAAAGCCACGAAGCTCAAGAACCGGCAGCACGTTTCAATTGCATTGTAGCGTCTAGGGCTTCAGGGTCTTAGTGTTACGGGCTTAGGGTTTGAAGGTTGGAACCCCACACACTCGTGATTCACCCCTAATCCGAACAGTCCTCTTCGACAGAAAACCCGGGGATGCCAAAACCTAGCGTGTTAAGGGTTCTACCCTCTACCCATAGGACCTAAAATAGTTCCTTTTGGGGTTTATATTTAGAATCCTATTAGCTAATCCCAAAAAGGAACTACTATGGGGCCTATGGGTAAGTAAGAGGTCATAACCTACACCCTAAACTCTAAACCCTAAACCCTAAACCCTAAATCCTAAACCCTAAACCCTAAACCCTAAACCCTAAACCGGGGTTTGGGGTCACAGGAATAGCTTGCGGTCGGCACAATGCCTGCTGACAAAGCCGCAAAAGCAGCTTCCAGCCAAGCCTTGCTCTGCTCCGCTTCTGGATTAGGGTTTAGGGTTTAGGGTTTAGGGTGTAGGGGGTTTCAGGAAATGAGCACCCCTAAGCAGACAGTAAGCACTAGGAGGCGTATCAATCAGACCCGCAAATAAGGCACCCGGATCTTCCAAAATTCCTTAATGAAGTAACCTACCTTACACCTTATTGAGGATCCTGCTGTAACTTAAGGCATATTCCGTAATCAGGGGATATTGGAAGATCGGGGTACCCCTATCTTAAGTGCAGTGTCACGTAGGGACCTACGGTCTAGTTGTTTTTTTTGGGGTGGTTTAGGGTTTAGGAGTTTAGGGCTTGTTTTTTTTAGCATTTGGGGTTTATGGCCTAGGGCTTAGGCCCCGTGATGGTTCACGCGCCTCTTTGCACGGGACTTCAATTCAACGGTGTCCTAAGTACCTATACAGTAGAAAGCCTGGTTTCTATACTAGAAATCATTATTATGATTTGGGAAAGTATCCCCCAGAACTTGGGAATTATAAGTCCGCCTACCCGGAGGAGAATGGGACTTAGCAAGTATGAATATAAATACGATAAAACTGAGTGGTTATAAGCATGGTTACCTGGTATCTTCCCCTCGTTACTAAACTAAGTCCCATGACCGTTTAAGTGGACATGCCTCCGAACCTAAACCCTTCAAGGGAGCCCTCAAAGGGAACCCTACTAAATAGGAAAAAAAAGAACCCGGGCCTTGGCACCAAGGGACTCTAAACCCCAAACCCTATAAACCCCTGAACCCAACAAGGTTTAGGCTTTAGGGTTTTAGGGTTTGGGGGTTTAGGGTTTTGGGGTTCAGTTTTTAGGGCTTTAGGGTTTTGGGGAGCTGGCCAGCCGATAACTTGAAGCCCTGAGCCGGTTTGGGGTTTAGGGTTTATCCTAAACCCTAAACCCCTTTAAAAAAAAGCAGGTACGTTACTTGAGTCCAGGGAGGGGCTCGGAGTTCATGGGCCGAGGCAGCTTGTGTAACCTATATTAAAGGCAGTTACAGGTGGGGAGTTTAGGGTATATAGGGCTTCTATAAGGCTTCCATAAGGTATATAGACCTTCTATAAGGCTCCTATAGCGGTAACTACCCACCTGAAAATGTCCTGGACTGTATAGGTAGTCCTCTAAATTAGGGCCCCTTTTAGGGTTCCAAGGGTTCCACTAGGCTGAACGGTAGGGTTTCCACAAGGGTACTATAGGAGTTCTTTAGGATTTTAGGGGTTCCGTTTAGGGTTTAGGGTTTAGGGTTTAGGGTTTAGGATTTTAGGGGTTCCCTTTTAGGGTCTTTTGTATATAAGAGTGCCGTACTATTTTTGGAACCTAAACAGGGACGCTAATTCAGAGAACTACCCATATAGGTGACGAGCGGCAAGCTGTCAAACAGCCCAAACACCCAAAGCTACCCCCAAGCCGAATCGTCATACTACCGAACCGCGCGCAGTTTGAACACTCTGAACATTAAGTGCCGAAGCTGTACCCAAAGACCCGAATCCACAAGACGAGCTACAACTCCGAGCGAGGGGAAGGATTGTCTCTCAGCTGCTTGAGGACCTGGCAGGCCATTAACGGTTTAGGATTTAGGGTTTAGGGTTTAGGATCTTAGCGGGCCAGAGTTTCAGGCAGTGTGAGGATTATGATTTGGCAACGTATCCCCCATAACAGTACCCAGGACCCAATCCCTAAACCCTAAACCCCAAACCCCATAACCCCTAACGCCATAAACCCCATAACCTAAACCCCATAATCCCTAAACCCATAAACCCTAAACCCCTAAACCCCGTAACCCCTGAACCCCATAAACCCTAAACCCTGAACCCTAACATAGGGTCTCGCTCATCGGGCTCAAAGGCCTGGGTCTTAGGGTCTTGGGAGTGCAGGTCTTCGGGTTTAGGGTTTAGGGCTTACCCATAGGCCCCATATAGTAGTTCCTTTTTGGGGTTACCTTATAGGAGTCTATATATATATATATATATGAACAAAATAGGGTTTAGGGTTTAGGGTTATGACCTCTTACTTACCCATACGCCCCATAGTAGTTCCTTTTTGGGGTTACCTCACAGGATTCTATATATGAACCCCCAAAAAGGAACTACTTTAGGGCCTATGGGTAGGCCTTAGAGTTTAGGGTCTCGGGCTTAGGGTTTCGGGTTTAATTAGGGCTTAGAGTTTAGGGCTTACAGTTTAGGGTTTAGGGTTGATGGGGTCAGGGGGTTGAGGGTTTAGGGTTTAGGTTTTAGGTTTTAGGGTTTAGGGACCAGGACCCGAAAGTGCCGCTTTATAGAGCCTTAATGGTCCTTAATAGTGGGCAATGTAGGGCATAACAGAGGGTCGGGTCTAGGTAGGGAGTTTTGTTTTGGGGTTTCGGGTGTAGGATGGTTGAGGTCTTCAGATTGGTTTAGGGTTTAGGGTTTGTGGATGTAGATAGTAATCTCAAGGCTAGACCCGGCCGGTCTTAGGGTCACAGGTGTTGATGACGCGCGGGTCACAAGGCAGGCACAGCAAGAGAAGTACAAATGTACTCCTCCAAAATTTCCATTGCTAAACCCTTACTAAAGCCTAAACCCGAAACCTTGACCTAAATCGTAATGAGTGTACCCCACAGAGTATGGGGGGTTTCGGAACTCGGGTTTAGGACTTCGGGTAGCTGAAACACCTACCTTCGTAAGGACATAGGTATGGAAGCCGGAGTAAGGAACCCCAAAAATGTGCAGGTTTGGGGCTGCAGGTTAGCAGGTTGGGGTTTAGGGGTTTAGTGTGAAACTAGAAGAGTGGGAGGGCACCTACAGGGCAAGCTACCAGTTCCCACAGCCGGCCTGCACGTCCATCGACGCTTCTTTTGCTTGCTCGTACCAAACGCCTCCGGAGAACACCTGGCGGTTGCATGGGAAACGAAGTTGGGCTGACACAGAACCTTCAACTGATGGTAAACTCGAAAGGAAACACATCATTGCTCATACGATTACACTCAAGTTTCACACTGGTTCTGTGTCTCGCCCTTCTGTTGCTGATTAAAGCTCCTTCGACCGCTAGTGACAGGGGGAGCATCAGCTTCCCGTCTTGGCCGCTCCACCACTCGGATGGGTTCTGGGGCTTTGTCAAAATGTCGCCCCTTTGGAGCGTTCCTGGTATCCACCCTATAGGGAGTTGTTCCCCCCATTGCTCGGATCTCAGACCTTGACGTAGGGC